GAACATGAAGAATTTCGTTTTCTGCCAAAAGCAAAATAATTAAAGCAACAACTCCAAGATGGGCAAAGTTCAAAGCTTTAGATAAACAAGCTAACACAGTTTTAGCCAACACAATCTAACCACCGACTAAAAATACCAAACACGCATGAGTGGCAGAACAGCTCAGCTGAACTATAATTTGTTTGAATTTAGTCGATTATTTCAAGACTCAAAACTCGGACTCAGGATTCAAAGATGCTTCTCAACAGTTTATGGCTAAACATCTTTCAGCCATTCTGGCTTCGGCTCGTTTAAGACCTTTCAGCTATGACTTTTGGTTTTAAATCTTTTATTTTCTTCAAAAAGTTTCACTTAATATCAAAGAAATAAAATAACTAAGTAAGTAGTAAGTAAGTAACTAAGTAGCTTTCAGCTACTGTTCTGTTAATGTTAGCTTTCAACTACTGTTATGTATATTTTAGCTTAAAGCTACTTTAGCTACTGTTCTGTTAATTTTAGCTTTTAGCTACTATTCTGTAGATTTTACCTTTCAGTTACTGTTTTGTATATTTTAGTTTTAGCTACTGTTTTGTTCATTTTAGCTTTTAGCTACTATTCTGTATATTTTAGCTTTCAGCTACTGTTCTGTTCATTTTAGCTTTTAGATACTGTTCTGTATATTTTAACTTATAGCTATTATTTAGGTTGTTTTAGATTCTGGTTTGCAAGCTTTAGCTTTCGGCTCCTGAAACACATTAGAAATACACGTTTTGCATCCTAACAAACCCATGAGCCCCGCCTCCTCATCTCAGAGCTCTAAGCTCCGCCTCCTAGATTTTTAAATGTCTCACTCAGCCGAAGGAGGGTCCGTTGAAGCTGCTACCGTGGTTTTTGAACCACAGAGGCCGACTCACAGGTAGGGCAACGACCGACGGCGTGAACGTAAACAACAAACGTTTGTTTATGGAGTCGTTCTTTTCTGACTCTGAAGGAGACCTGAAATCTTTACCCTCCTGCTGCCCAGGGGTCAAAATGACCTGACCTCTGGGCAGCAGGAGGGTAAACCAAGCTGTCCTAGTCTCCGCCCCCAATCTGGATCCCAGTCCTGGTTCGGTTCTTACCGTCAGGGAAACAGTTGTCCGGGTCCAAGGCCTCCTCAGCCAGCTCCGAGTACTCGTCCTCTTCCTCGCCGGGCTTCCTCAGATCCACCGTGCTGCCCTCTGATAGGCTGATGTCATCCTTCTGCTGCGGGAGATAACCAATCAGAACGTCAGCCCCAAAACTCCGCTTCCTGATTGGTTCAAATGTTAGGCCCAGGTAACAAACACCTGGGAGCAGGTAACGATCAAGAACTGATCCATCTTTCAAAACAGAACCAGAACTGTGATGACCGGTCCAAACGTTCATCAGAACCAACGTTGGTTTGGAATCTGGTCCAAGCACTAAAATGTTCAGTCTCCACGCTCCTCTGATGTATATTCACCCTTTAGACTTTAGTTACAAGCTCTCCTCAGGTTTAGCTCATATCAGCTAAAGAATTTAGCTCATATCAGCTAAGGATTTTAGCTGATATCAGCTAAAGGTTTTAGCTCATATCAGCTAAAAGTTTAGCTAATAATTCAGATAGTTTTCAGTGGACATCAAAAAATGAATAATGCATTAGTCATAAAAATGTATTCAGATTTAACGCATCGATGATAAAACACGCTGCAGCTGAGCAGGTAAAGGTTGATGTTAATGGTACCGGTCCAGTAGAACCAATCAGAACCAAATGTTTCAGATTACACTGTAGAACCTTCACATCTGCAGGAACAGAACCTGTCCGGCTGCTCTTTCATAAAGTGAGTTAGTTTATCTGAATATTCTCTGCCTGCCTCCGAGACCAACAGAACCGGCCTCCTGCAGTCTGGGCAGAACCGGTCCGGTTTCACAGAACCGGCAGGAGTTCTGGCTCAGAGAACACAAACGGCAACTTCAAAACATTGGATCTGTCAGCCAGGAAATCCACCGTCTGTCCCCGGTAAAATCTGGACTCAGTGTTAGACACCCCCCCCCAGTCCCAGCTGACTTTAAAGGTCCCAGTTTGCAAAGCATCATGGGAGTTTGACTGAACAAAGAGACGGATGATTTCTGCTGAGGATGGAGGGAGGAAATCTGGCGAGTTTGTCTTTTGTCTGGACAAAGAAACAGCAAGTGTGCGTGCGTGTGTGTGTGTGTGTGTGTGTGCGTGCGTGCGTGCGTACAGGTGAACTAACTACCTGAGTCAACAGCGACTCATGAATACATTCAGACTCTGTGACAAATGCCAGCCTTGGACACAAGCGCTGGCGAACCGTGAAGCCAAACAGGCGAGGACACGCTCCTAATCTTTGACACGCACACGCTCACACTGACGTGCACACAAAAATCGGATAATGTGACGTGCACGAGCAGCCGCCTGGAGCCAGAACCTCCTGACTGTTGACGGTATAATGAGGCGTTTAAATGTATTTTTACTGAGGAGCAGGGGCACCGTCGTCTCGTGGGTTCTGTCTCCGGTGGTTCTGATCAAACACCTGATTTATCGTGGTCCTAAAAGGACGGGTTCCACCTGAACAGAGGGTGTTAAAACAAGACGTGCACGTGTAGCGAATAAGTTTACTGTACTTCAGTCAGAGGGGTTTACTTTTATAACTTTCTGTCTTTATGTATTTCGTTTATCGTTGCTTGAATTATTTCTGTTTCTCGGTCTTTTGTGTTTCTTTAACAACTTTAAAGATAAACTGACGGAGGAGGTTCAGTAAACGGCAGAATCTGCTGACTGATCACTATGAACTAATTATTAACCTAATCGCTGATTAACTCAATGCCAAAGTGGAAAGACATACATATGTGCTAACATGATGCCAAGGCTGAAAGACATATAGATGTTTTGATACATGCCAAGG